AATTTTACAAAAAAATTTAATATTTAAAATATCAAATCATCTTAATTTTTACTTTTCTTTATATCTAAAACATAAATGTTTTCACTCCCCCATGTGACCCAAGTGGTCACGTTTTTTCATGTGAGAAGTAAGGTGGAGCACAATATATGATCATCAGGTTGACTCCTCGGTCGATACTTAAACAGAAACTAATATCTTTCAAAAATTTATAATAAAAAATATATGAGATTAAGGGAAATCATAATATTTTGACAATTTAAAATATCAAGAGTAATAATAAAAAGATTAAAATACTTTTAATAAATTTGTTAAAAAGAAGTGGAATAATGGAGTAAGATTACTATTTATGTACACTGTTTATATCCAGTTCAGTTTCATCAAGTCGCTAAGAAGTTTCCTTATTTGGTTTTTAATGTAATTCTGATGCTCATTGATGTTAAGTGTTACACCTAAATGAATGGTTTGACTTTTATATCATTATTTTTAATGTATTTGGTGAATACTATATGTGGCTTGTATTATTTTATCCAAAAAGAATGAAAAATTAATAAAAAGAATTTAAACATCATCTCTAGCTTAATTTATGTTATTTTTTGTTTCTTTTGCATGTTTCTCAAGATTATTTCTTGAATTTAATGTTGACTTAATCAAATTTTCTTAATTGATCTCTCAAAATCAATATAAAATAAAATTTATTAAAAATATTTAAATAATTTTATAAAAACATTTAAAGTAATCAAAAATTTTTCTCATAATAGATTAGTTATAGTCTTAATTTGAGGCAAGTGCTAAAAATATTCAAAAAGAAAAGGGCTTCTAGCAAACCCTTGGGAGAATTAGAAAACTCACTTCTCTCCACTCCTCCTAACCCTGGCGAGAGAGCCGGCCAGAAGGTCACAAGTTACAAAATATTGGGAACAGAAATTCTATTATTTAGTGTTGTAGATCTTTGGGCGGTGATTACTAACCATAGACAATTACTACTACACTGTTATCCAAATAGTGGTTACAGAAAGTCAGGATTACATGGCATGGTAGTCCTTACAAAATTAAGGGGTATCCATCATGTGGCCTCTACGTTGGGATTCACGTGGAGCCTAATCCTGATCTTACCAAGACTGCTAGGCAGTCCTAACTTTCTGTTTTCTAATCCAAATAAACTCTATTCCTTTGTCGTTTTTGCATTAATCACTGAATTTTAACAATAAATATATTTAAAGTATTGTTTTACCTTTTTCTCTACTTCAATTCTTGAGTTCTACTGATTCATCTCCTTCAAACTTATCAGTCTCTCTCCTTCAAATATATCCTTAATTTGGGTGGCTTGGGAAAAAAATTTTCCACTCATTTTCTAATCTCTTTCCTCAAAATTTTTCATTCTAGATTTTGCTTCTTTTTTTGTTTCCACCAAAAATTACTTTATACAAGGAACAATTTGATTTCTCTCAACCTGAAGTCAATGGAAAGAAGAAAAGGGGTAGAAAATCCAACCCTGATCATGTAGGGTGTTTGGGATCAAATGGGATAGATGTAGTTAGTTGCCAAATGCTAGAAATCATATCAACAGTATCCAATTGATGAGAAAACAATCAGATGTCTAGATCTAAACTCTCAGTTTCTAGAAATAACCCTTATTTCAACAGAAAATAAAAGATTTTATCGCTTATGATTGAAAATTGTTTGGTAGTTTGGGCAAACCAACAATGCATCTAAAAGAATCTA